ATAGATAGATAGATAGATAGATAGATAGATAGATAGATAGATAGATAATTCTCTTCTAGAAATAAAAGGTAGATAAAATGGCTCCATGTATCCAGTCTGAGTCTCTGGCTGACCTTCATTCCCTCGTCTGGACCCAAGTGTGGCACTCCCAGGCTTAAGACCCCATCACAAACAGCAACAAATCAAATCCTGTTTTTGGTCTCTAAAGTCCTTGAGCTCCCTTTGCCACTCACAAAAGAACCCTTAGTGAGACATAGTATCTCAGCAGTTAATTGCAATGACATCTGCTCAGTTGTGAGGTTCCGGCTTGCACTCGGCCTCACTGAGTACAGCAGTGGCAAAGGAATTTCTAGGAATACTGTCGCAGGATGTTAGCATAAAGAGTGATTTATTTTTCCAGGCAGGGTGCTCTGTAGCCCAGGCTGACTTCTAAGTCAGTCCTCCCTTCTCTGTCTCCCACGTGTTAGGATTTACAGTCATGTGAGACCTTTGCAATATACTTGGCTCCTTGCTCCCTTGGTAGTCAGACTGTTTCATATAAATAGCTTTAATTTTTTCAAGTGTTTTGTTTTGTTTTGTTTTGTTTTAAGATTGCTTATGAGGGCTGGAAAGATGGATCAGAGGTTAAGAGCACTGGCTGTTCTTCCAAAGGTCCTGAGTTCAATTCCCAGTAACTATAGATGGCTCATAACCATCTATAGTGAGATCTGCTGCCCTCTTTTTGTGTGTAGGCATACATATAGGCAGAACACTGTATAAATAATAAATAAATAAATCTTAAAAAAATAAAAAGATTGCTTATACTTTCCCTATGTTTATTATTTTTGCTGTGTTACATGGATGGCCCCAAACTCCTGAACTCCAGTAGTTCTCATGACTCGGCCTCCCCAAAAAGGGGGTGAGGGTTACAACACAGTCCATTGTGCCTAGTATTTCATATTGAAAATGTCTCCACTTGGGCTGGAGAGGTGGCTCAGTGGTTAAGAGCACTTGAGATCTCTTTCAGAGGTTCTGAGTTCAATTCCCAGCAACCACATGGGGGCTCCCAACCATCTATAATGAGATCTAGTGCCCTCTTCTGGCGTGCAGGCACACATGCAGGCAAAACATTATATACATAATAAAAAAATAAATCTTTTTTTAAAAAGATTTCACTTTATGCATTAGCTTTACATTATAACAGCCCTCTTCTTCTTTCTGTTTTTTGTGCCATTTGTTTGTGAGTCAAGGTCTCACTATACAGTCCTCACTGTCCTGGAACTTACTACATAACACCTGCCTCTATCATCCAAGTGCTGGGATTAAATGAATGTACCACCACACATGGCTCTGTTTTAGTGCGTTTTTTTTATTTTTGCTATGCATATACTTTTACCACTTATTAAAGACAAAAGCAAATGTGCATATTAATGAGGTAGAAGTGCAGGCTTATTTTCACATAAATAGTTAAATCTTTGCTGCAGGACACAGAGCATTGTCAGTGTTTTCCAGAATTATCAATATTTTTACTTTATAAATACCATTTCACATAAATACATAGTACAAAATGGCTAAAGTATGTTTATGGTCATTTCCAAAATTGTTGGAAATTCTGAGCCAAACCCAAGCCAAAATTCCTTTACTATTTTTATGAAACTCAAATCAGCAATTCAGAGAGCAAATGTTTTGTTTTGTTTTTTGAGACAGGGACCCTCTACATAGCCCTGGTTCTTCTGGAACTCACATTGTAGAACAGGCTGGCCTCTAATTCACAGAGATCCACTTGCCTCTGCCTCTCAGGTGTTGGGGCTAAAGGTGTGCGCCACCTTGCCCAGCCTAGACAGTGATTTTGAAGATCAAACGTTGTAACACAACGCAATCCAAAGATAGCCTGATTTGATACTTCATGCTAAAGAATAAAAACGTTTTGGGTGTTAGTCTTGTCTTCCTTCTAAAACAATCAAATGCATCATCTTAATAGGTACTTAATTATCTTACCGCTTACTTCTAAGGCTGTGGCACCCTGCGTTTCTGCTGTGTGGTGTAATAGGCCATCTTTACTGTACAGTCTGTGGAGAACACTGGACTACCGTTTTATGGCGCACGGCACTGGCAGGGCGCCGTAATTGTCTGTGGTGGGGTTTTGACATGACAGAGTGGCTCTTACTCTTCTCGCCTCCTGTGATTTCTTCGCAGTACTTCGATGAGCTCAGCGGAATATCTGCAGAGGATTTGCCTTACTATGGGGGGTCAGTAGAAATCGCTGACTATTGCCCCTTCAGTCAGGAATTCAGCTGGCACTTGAGTGGCGAATACCAGCGCAGCTCGGACTGTAGAATACTGGAGAACCAACCAGGTTAGTGGTCTAGTGACGTGAAGGGTAAGTGCATTGTATAATGTTGTTTTTCTTTTTGTTGTTGTTTTGTTGCGTGTTTGATTGTCTGGGTTTTTTTTTTGTTTGTTTGTTTATTGAGGCAAGGTTTCTCTGTGTGGCTCTGGCTATCCTGGAACTCACTCTGTAGACCAGGCTGGCCTCGAACTCAGATCCACTTGCCTCTGCCTCCCGAGTGCTGGGATTAAAGGCGCGCAGCACCACCACCCGGCCTGCATCATACAGTTCCTATTACCAATACAAAATAGTTGTTAAGCAAACAGTCCTATAGCCAGATGACTTTGAGTAAGTGTTCCCGTTCTCCTGTTGTCTGTCTATGTAAAATTACTTAACTTTTGTCTGTTACTTGGTTTCTCTATAAGTTATTACAAAAATTAAATGGAGAGATGGCTCAGCAGTTAAGATGACCCACGATTCTTGCAGAGGACCGGAGCTCAATTCCTAGCAGGCAACTCCCACCTGCTTGTTCTGTCTTCAGGGGATCTTACTCCCTCTTCAGGACCCCATAGGCCCCTACACTTAGGTTCATATACCCCCACACAAATACACATATATACACATTTTAAAATAATAAAAATAATTTTTTAAAAACAGCAAGAAGGCAGCTGGGCAGTGGTGGGACACACCTTTAATCCCAGCACCCAGGAGGCAGAGGCGGGCGAATTCAAGGTCAGCCTGGTCTACAGAGCAAGTTGCAGGACAACAAGGGGTACATAGAGAAACCCAGTCATAAAACCAAAAATTAAAAAAAGAGCATGAAAAATAAGAGCAGTGGGAAGACAGGAATTCCATAGTGAGTGCATAGCGCTGTCAGACACTTGAAGAGGTCCATAGACGAAAGCTCACGCTCTCCTTGCGGGACACATGAGCAAGATGTCATGTTTCTCCAGTTCGCCAACACATCCAAAATGGTGCAGTCAGTTGCTGCAAGACCCAGCAGGGATCCTCCTCTTTTTATTGGAGCACGTTAGGGAACCTGTTTTTCTACTGTGATCTCTGCAGATCCGGGATAATGCTGTCATCCCGCAGCCGGAAAGAAATAGTGCCATACCATCCATTTCCTTTAATTCATAACGCCAGGACTCCAAAGCAGTAGACAGTATCCTCATTACAGTTCCTACTAACCAAATATATATTTTCACGTCCGATATGCTTTAAAAAAAAAAAAAAAAAAAAGCAGTAATTAGCTGTGCCAGTGGTTTGTGCTTATATTCCTAGCACTTGGCAGGCTAAGGTGAGAAGATTAGAGAGTTTAAGGCTACCATGGCTACGGTAGGCTAGTGAGACCCTGGCTCAAAAACCAGGACAGAGATAGATTAGGGGTTAAGAGCACCGGCTGCTCTTCCACAGAAGTCAGGTTCAATTCTCAGCATCCGAGTTGCAGCTCACAACTGTCTGAAACTCCTATTCCAGAGCACCAGATACCCACTTCTGGCCTTTTCGGGTACCAGGCAGGCATTTCCATGGTCGATAGACATACATGCAGCCAAAACACCCATATACATATGTATTTATATATATATATTGTTTTTCCTGCTTGCTGTCATATATATATACATCTATGTATATATATATATAGATATATATAGATGTATATATATATATAGATGTATATATATGTATGTATGTATGTCTATGCACCGTCACAAAGGGAAGGTTCCAGCAGACACGCTGGCCGGATGACGTGCTGCT